GCTACAAGTGTGGCTCGTGCAAAGCTCAGCTACCCTTAACCAATGCCAGAGACAGGCAAGGGTGAGGGCAAGAACAGCAAGGGCGGCAAGGGAGACGTTGGCAGCAAGGGAGGTGGCAAGTCTGGCAGCAGCGGTGGCAAGAGCCAAGGGCCCGCGCAGTTGGCGCAGGCGCTACAGCTCATCACGGCCTTTGTGGACTCGCTGAAGCTGCAGGGCGTAGACACCATCAGCAAGCAGATCCAAGCAGCAGCCAGCGCACTGCAAGCCGTGGCGCCGCAACAGCCAGTCAAGTCGAGAGCGGAGAGAATGGCTGCGGCAGCGAGATCGCTTCAGCCGGCCCAGAGGCAATGTCAAGTGGCCGTCGCGACGAAGCAGCGTGCAGAAGAGGAGGCAAAGATAGCCAGCGCGGTGCTGGAGGAGCGTGCCGAGGCAATGCTTCGGGCAGAAGCGGAGTGCGAAGTCATCCGCGCCGAGGGCCGCAGCGCGCTCTCAGCTGACGTCCTGGCATCCTCGAGCAGCTGGCGTCCGGCAAGGCGGACGCGCTGGCGGAGGGGCAGCTGCGGACATCGGGCGCGAGCTCGACCTGGGCATCGAGGACTTGGACGATGAAGGACGCCACCAAGTCGAGGGGGGCCACGAGAAGGCGGGGAGGCAGATGCAAGAGAATGCGCGCGCGCTCCAAGGGCACCTGCGTGACCATATCGCGAAGGCGAGGATGGCGGCGATGGAGCAGGAAAAGGCGATCGCGTAGGAAGCCAAGAAAAGGACTATCAACGCAGGAGGAGAGATAGCGCCAGGGGGGGCAGCAGCGGCTGGCCCAGCAGGCGGGGCACCCACAGCCGCGACGGCTCAAGCAGGATGCCCAGGCCCCCCTAGGCGCGGCCAGCAAAGGAGGGGAGGGCCTGGCAGACCGCACCTGGAGCAGATGCGCGCAGCAGCGAAGGCGGAGGGCGGGGGGCCCACCCGGCCTCCGCGGCCGCAGGGGCTGGCGCGAGGACGGCGACGGTGGCGCGCGGACGACGCCGCCGTCCGAGAGCGCACCCTGTTCTGCGCCAACATATCCGCGCCGGGGCCCGCAGCCAGTCCGCGGCTGCTACGACAGGGGATCGGGGGTTGAGGCCTCGACGCGATGGCGCTGCAAGAGGTGCGCGCACCACGGGCGAAGCTAGAGGATGCAGAGCTGGACCTTGTCAAGATGGGGCACGGGGCCACCTCCGCTGTCGCGCGGGCGGCAACGGGGCGGAGAGGGGGTGCTGCGGGGGCGCGGTGGTCATCTACAAGGGGCGCCTGCGCGTCGCGTGCTCCAGGCACTAAGGCCCAGGCCCGGCTGGCCGCGGATGCCCCCGCGGACATTCGGATGGGGCGCAGGCGGAGGAAGCGGTTGGGACATGTGCGGCTGGATGCCGGTCGCGCGGCACCTGAAGGGGGCGACGTTGACAATCCCAGACATGATCGCGTCGTTAAAAAATCAGGACAAGGGGTTTTTGGCTATTTTCGGCCTCGGGGGGCCCTCGCCAGGCCTCGGGACCGTCGAAAAACGACGCAGGACGAAAAACCGGCCGCGGGGAAAGGGCCGGGACTTCTGGGGACGCCGTCCTGAAAAAATCAGGACGTCGCATGTCTGGGATCATCTCATTCTACCCCGGCTGAAACGAGTCATTGGGCGAGGGCATCGACGGCCGCGGGCTCGCCTCGCTGGCAGCGCTCCTAGAGGCACTCAGCGGAACGTGGTTAGTGTGCGGAGACTTCAACTCAGACCCGGAGTCATTCTGCGCGTCGGGCTGGCCGAAGGCGATGGGGGGCGCAATCCATCATCTCGCTCCCAGGCGGCTGGCGCTCGTGTTTCCTCACCGAGAAAGAGCCGTCGCTGATAGACTTCGTCGGGGCCCGCGAGATGGGCAGCCAGCTCATCTCGGGCATCGAGGCTGTGTGCGACGTGCCGTGGAAGCCACGCTTCGGGCTGAAGTTCGCCGTCCGCGCGGAGGGGATTCAGACGCAGCGCAGGACGCGGGCAAGGCCCACCCAAGGTCTTCCCGCGCCCGCCGAGGAAGGGCAGGGCGCCCAGCCCCACCGGCAAGAGGGCGAGGAGGAGGCTGCAGGCGCGCGCTGAGGCCGAAGCCAGGGCGAGCGCGGAGCAGGCACCCCGCGAGGCTACCAACGGAGGAGAGGGCGCGGCGCGAGGCGCAGCAGGACAAGGCGAGATGGCTCGCACCTGTGGCAGGCTGGACGCACTTCCCGGCCATCGACGGCACCGAGGGCGGCAGCAAAAATCGGGGGCGGCAAAGAGGGGGGTGATGACTAGGGGGGGGATATCATGGCGGGGGCCATGATATTTCCTCAGATTTCATGGCGCCTCTTCTTACTTCATTACGTCCCTGGCCCCCCCGCTGGGCCGCGCTCATGCCGCCGGTCATGATTTGTACCCCCCCCCTTGGACCCCCCCCTTGGCCGCTCCCGAAATTAGGTAGTCAATGTGCGTGGCACTGAGGCCTGAGCAGCA